AAAAGCAGCACCTAAAATCCTTCTCGTTCTGACTCTGATTCAAAATTTTATCCTTTAATATTGTTACTGTAACTGTTGTCCCTAGTCCAGGTGATGAAGCTCTGTGGGATGTCTGGTCTCTGATCAAGCTCTGGAGGTAGAAATTACATTAAATGTTATTAAATGTAGGTTGCAGTTCTGTAGGAGTCCATCAGAGTATCTGGAGACCAGGGGTATGGAATGAAAACCTTAACAGTGATCATGCATACGAGAAAGCAATGCAGACCTCAGAGCTTGAGTCTCTGTATGAGGATGTGCCAAATTACAGCCTTATGTTGCGATGTATTATGGTATTCCCTGTTTGGCTTGGTCTGTGGAGCGTATTGCTGTAATGGTATGTGGTATCGAGGCTGTTAAGCCTTTATTATTAAACTCTTATAACTCCTGTGGGACTGATGGTTTGTGGTTTCTCAGGATCACTTCCAAAGCAGCACGCAATAATTTTTTCTACTGATTTTTTTTCCTGGGGAAGTTGGTTTATTGCTAAAGTCTGGTTTTGTTGTTGTTTTTTTTCTTTTTCATTTTTTTTAAAAAAAAGGGTAAGAGAAGTTATTGGTTCAGCTTCTTTGGTGTCCAATAGGATGAGACAAATATCTACTGATTCTTGCAGGGAAAAATCAGTAAAAAGTAAAATTAGTTAGTGGCTTCTCAGAGGGACTTACTGTAAAAGTCTTAACTGAAATTCTGAAACAGCACTTAAGAAAACATACAAATTAAATACAGTCCTTAATTAAATGTGGGTTTTATTTGCTGTTCTCATTCTGTGTTCAGTTTGTATATTGAATTTTCATCAGTGATGAAATCAAAGCAAGGACAGTACTTGCGCTGGAAGTTGGTCAATGTATTTGCTCTTACATTTCAGAAACTCGACGCAACTGGGCTTTAAGAACTGTTTCCACACATCTCTGAAGTGCAGTACCCATGCATGATAATAAATGTTATCCTGTGCTGTCCATATCTCTTTCTTGGAGTTTGAAACTTAAGATGTTTTCCAACATAGACTTGTTTCTCTCTGTCTCCTAGAAATCTGCAGTTTGTTGGTCAGGATCATCACTCCTTCATGAAGACCCAATCCTTCATTTATTTTTCTGTTCAGAGACTAAAGAGTGGAAAAGATTTGGCAGTTTGTAAGAAATAGCAGTTAAAAAGTTACTGGTGTCTACATGCCTAGACCTAAGATGCACAATATATGCTGCAAGATGAGTAATTTAATTTGTTGGTGTTGGAGACAGGGGACTGTGGTGTAGAGTCATGCACACTCTGAGAAAGCCCATGGTTAACAGACAGGAGGAAGGATTTGCAGGAGACCTAAGATGGGGGACACTGGAGTGCAAAGGGGTGTGTATGTGTGAAGAGATAAGGGATCAGTGACACTTGCAGTGTATCCCTTGCCTTGAAATATAATTCGTCCTCATACCTGGGTGGCTTATATGGACTGTGGTGTAAGTGCAGCAACAAATGTAGCTGCCTCAGATTTGCAGGGTTTTTTGTTTGTTTGTTTTAAATTCAGGATACAACTGTGCAAATCCCGTTGTGTTCCTTCAAAGGCAAGTTCAGCTCTACCGTTAGTATGGAGCATTGCTGGAACAGAATTTAAATCAGGATCCTTGTGTTTGTTCCATAGCAGTGAGCTCTCCTGGCAGAGGGGTCTCGTACAGCCTTCCTCTGCACTCCAAAAGGGTTGTGATGAAGCACATCAGGTGGCCCTACACAGCACTGGTTTTTGGGGGATGATGGAGCAGATTCATGTGTCGGGTCAAATTTTTGATTTTTCTAGCTAGGTGGCAGGTGGAAGGGGAAAGTGACCCAGAGCATAGGTCCCAGTGCAGCGTTTACACAAAGTGTGACCCAAAGCAATTTTGCAGTCTGACTGGTCAGGTCTCAGCTGTTATTATTCCTGGCACTGAATGCCTTGTTTCTTCTGATGGATTGGGTCAGATCCAGAATTGCATTTGGGCTTTTCTGTATCTTGGGTTTTTTTCTTTTCTTTTTTTAAACTGCTGTAGTCACTGAAAAAATGATTTTAGCTAACATGAAAACAGATGTAAAAGGCTGGCATTGTGGTGTGTGCAGCCTTAAGCTGTGCATATTGGCAAGTTATCAGGTATCAGATTTCATGATTTGGGCATAAAGACTGCCCTTCAGTTGCGAAGGCAAGAGAAAAAACATTTTAGCTGCTTTATGGAAGTAGGTAGCTGAAAGGTTAAGGGACCGCTCCTTCAGACATAAACACTTCTTGGAGCCTAAAGCAAGGGCCCATATAAGTGGGTATGTTTTACATCGTGTCTTACTAAGTTTTGAAAGACAGAGTCTTTGATGGTTGGCTCTGAAAGGTAGTGCAGACTCGGGCTTGGGGGAAGGCATAGGGCACAGACTGAGCAGCCACTTTGTCTCTGGAAAAAAAAAGTCTAGAAAGCCAGGAAGATTTTGAACTGAGCGATGACTGGAAGAGATTTGAAGCTAGAAGCAAAGAAACTTTTTTTCTTATGTTTGGAAGCAGGACTCGGTGTATTTGCAAATAAATCTGGCTTACTTCAAAGAAATACTTATCTCCATCATCTTCTGACAAAAATAACCTGTAGCTCTGAATTTGGCTGAGTGTGAATAGCTGTCTCGGTGGAAGAAAGGTGACACACGATTATCTTCAGCCTTTTTCAAATTTATAGCTTCTTTCCTTTTGAAATGTTAATGCCAGAAATAAACACCGTGTTTTAATAAAGATCCATGGTTTGTGAAATTACATGTGGGGGTAGAGGGGGAATTGACAGTAATGCAGGTTATTCACAGTGAATTTGGTATTAAAACTGTGAAACTAATAGTCACATGGAGGACTGGATTGGAAAAGGGAGCTCACGTTTACTCTGCTTGTAATTTTTTTGTTTATGTGAGGAAGACAATGTTCTCGGTTAAGTGAGTGAAACATTATACTGTTTTAGTAGACTGCAATAATGGGATTAATTTGGTGCTTGCAATGCTTTTCAGCCATTCTTAGATAGGTCCTAATATTTCATGTGCAGTGTTTGAATGCAAAATATATTGCAGGAAAATGAACAACATTTAAATTTGGCATTAACTACAAAGCAATACTTTATGTTGATAAAAATCTCAACAGTTTTTTAGAAGTAGAACCCCACAGAGATACTTCAGAATTAATTGATGGCAGATGAATTTAACGCAGTTAAAATGAATTAAACCCCTTGCTATTTTGAATAATATATAAATGTCTGAATTTTATTCCCAACAGAGGAAATACAGTTGTTAAGTCCAGATGGATTTTTATTTTTACTGGAATAAGTTTTGAGACTAGTAATACCTTTTTTTTTGTTGTTGTTGTTTAACGTTACTACCACAGTGTTGGATCTTGGACAGCACAGACCTTCGTAAAAATTGTTTTAAATCCAGTTAAATGAACGGTTTTACTATGTTTATTTTGAAAATTTCTCATTGAATTTGTAAGATTTGCAAAATAAACACAGTATAGAAAAGCCAAGGGCTCGGTCCTATGTTAAGTTATTGTCAGCTGAAATGTGGTAACTGTCAGTGACTGTGATTGTAGCCTGCCCAAATGTAAGGTGATGCAGCGGGAGCTTCTTTTCAGCACACTAAATCTGATTGTGATTGGGCTTTTTGCCTTGCACTAAGGGCTTGCACTGAGGCAGCTGTGGTGCTGCAAGGGATGTGTGATCAGTTGATCACATCTGAGGCCTAAGTGACAAACAGAAACTTAAAGGAATTCAATCTATTCATTTAGCTGAAGATGAAAGGCAGTTCTACTATTGCTGTGTCAATTTAAAACCTATCATTCCATAAAATTATTAATCCTATCATGGTGTTTTGTTCTTTGCTGTGTTTTACCCATTGACAAGTTGTCTTTAAGTTCTGGGCCCAATTTTGCTCCACTGCAGTAGAATTCAGCAGACTTTCTCCTTCATTTTGGCATCAAAATGGATGGCAAACCAGGAGGCATCCTACCAAAATAAGTGTTGGTTTGTCTCAAGTAAGAATGCAGCTGGAAAAAAAAACCCACCACTGAGCATGGTGCCCTATTGCAGCTCCATTTGGAACAGAATATTGCGTTGTTGGTGATAAATTTTGCAAACAAGTTCTAGTCTGGGAGAGTGGTATATGAGGAAAATGATTGACTAATAAGGGGATCTGGATCATGGGGTGAGCTTAGTGAAAGCAGGCAATAATGGTTTCTATGTGGCCAAATATCAAATTACATGTATAAAAACTAGTAACTGTAAACCACAACTGAAACAAAGTGCGTCACATCGAATGAAATGGTAACTAAAAGTATTGGGCATTAACTGGCGGTCAAGAGTTGTCATTGCAATCATGGATAAAAGCACTATTGTCATCCCCAGATGGCAAAATAAAATGGTATCAGGTTATAACCTCAGAGAGGTTATATTTTCTTGATACTTGTCATGCATGCTGCATATAGAATACAGGTGAAGGATATTGGTAATTTGAAATGCGTTCAGCTAGGGAGCCACTAGTGTGAGTAAAGATGTGGAAAACATGGTGAGAACTGCAAGGAGGACAAAATACTTGGCTTAGCAAACAGTGTCAGGGAAGAACTGATCATAATAGGTGAGTCCCCAAAGTAGGGACAAAATATTGAGAATAAATTTGATGAGAAAAAGCTCTCCAGTCTAGCAGTCAAAACCATATTATGATTCAGTTTTGGTAAGGTTGACCAAGATTATTAGGTGTAATGAAATTATTTTCAATAAATTGTAGGTACTTCGTTGGGTAACGATATCATGATTTGTTGCATACTCCAGTGTTCTGCCTTTGCTAGATGCCTGTTATTTTGTCTGGCTGGTGTAGAAGTTGTTCTGCTTCCTGGCGGAAGGCAGAATAAGGAGTTATTTAAGCAAAATAACAAGAAAATGTTACAGTGAGAAATGGTACTAAGAAAAAGGGGAAAATGAACTTGTACTCTTGTGTTACAGATTCAGTGGTTCTTTCCTTTGACTCCGTTGGACATACAATAGGCTCAGGTACAACATTGCCTTCTTCTCTATCTCCCACCTCATGACAAGGCTTCTACTTAATTAGACATGGTAGCCATGTTGGGAGGCAGGTCACTGAGTCAGACTTTTGTGGGAATCAACCATCTAGCCAAAGTGGGTAAATAGAGCCTTTCCTAAGTGTAGTGCAAGTATTAAAGGTCTTAGTGCGACACAAGGATTAACATGTGGTACCCTTCCATTACCAAGCAAGGCCTGTTATCATTACCAAGATGACCTGGACATGTTACATGTGTTAGTGATGCAGCTTGTGCTTCTTTTCTCATGTGAAAGGCATTAAGATGATGTCACTCACCAGCTGAAGAAAAACTGTTCCATGCTACTAGGAGAGTTTCTCAGCTAAACAAACAGTTGAGTTATTTGGGGAAAGACATCAGGAATGCTTCCAGGAAGGGGAAGGCAAAAAAGTCGTAGCTAAACAAATAGGGCTGGAAACTTTTATTTTTTTGGGTGGAGATTGACCAGTATTATTGAGCCCCAGGGCAAATCCTGCCCAATCTAATTTCCTTTGGAACCTGAGCATGACCTTCAGTTAAACTGAACCAGAAATAAAAAATTCTTTTGTGTTGGGGGCACTTCATGAAACCAGCAACTGTCATTTTGGCTATGTGTAATATATGAGCTATAGCCAAGGCACACCATAGTGAGCACAATACTTGATGAAATTCAGTTTACAGTGGATGTATATGATATATGAAGTGTAAGTGAAAGGTTGAGAATTATTGTTATAACTTAAAAACCCCATAACACTTAAAAGATGGGGATATTTATTGTCTTGCAGAAAAGAAAAAATTATCCAAGTAAAGGTTTTATATTTTACCTTACGTGCTAGCCTTTCCTCTTAGGTTGGTAGGGGGAACATGCTGCCTTCCAACATAGCACCTGTCTTCTGCCTGCGCAGTTTGAAAGAGAGCCTGCTGCCTGGTACTAACAGCGAAGCTTGAACACGGATTTCTGATTTACTAACCCCTGAGCTAGTGGTAGTAACTTGCTTTGTTCACAACACCCCAAATAGTTTCTGCTCTTCTTGCATCTTCTCTAAAACTTATCTCTGAAATGGATCTGTTGTGGATGCATGATCTGATGTGTGAGCGCAGAGTGGATATGTTTATGGAGGAAAGAGACCCTCTGTTATCTCCCTTCTAATCAATACCAGTCATAACTGAAGTGTGTTGTTGCCTGCCTCCTTCTGTACTGCGTGGTAGTTTCTATAGTCTGCAAAAGTAAGGGGAAGTTGAATAGGCTTGAGATAAAAAATCTAGGAGTAAAATTCAGGCAAATATTTGGATTACAGCTGAGTATGTCTGAATCAGCATGCCCATACCGGAGTTATGCTGGATTAATGTTGGTACAGCTAAAACCTGAATTTGACCGGGAGTAAAACTTGTAAATAGTACCTGCTACGGATTTTTTTTTTTTTTTTTTCCCTAATACTATTTTGGCTTCTAACTGATGTGAAAACAGTTAAGCCTGTGGATAGCTTCCAGTGCAGGGTATCTATGGAGTTAGTCATAAATGTTGTGTTATGATACTACCTATAGGGTGGTAAACTTAGTTATGAAAAATAGTTCAACTGCTCTGTGTCCTTTGGAGTTCTGTTAATACGGAGGGTGGGAGACAAGTTAATGTAAGCCAACTGACTGTCTGGGTCTGTTTTAAATGCACTGGTCTTTGTTCTGCTTGTATATTGCAACTTAAGCTTGGATTGGTTAGGAGTAAGGCAGTAAAATCTGATCTTTTGTAAACCCTTCCACTGTGACAAGATTGAATTTCATTGAAGAAATATGAAGAAAACTCTCATATTTGAGAAGGGAGGCTCAGAAATGTTCGGGAGTTGTATGTTTATTGCTTTCATATTTACTACTTTGCATTCACTGTGCTGCAAACTTTAACTTGCTCTGAACTGATATGTGTAATAAGATGTCAAGATGTGTGATGTCCATCCAACTGAGGGATAGCTTTCCTTGTTGAACAGGAAGGAGAGAGAGAAAAACTGTGGCTATTGTGCTTCCGCTGTCCATCCCATCTCACCTTGCTGCAGACCCAGGAAAAGACAGAGCCCAGAAAGAACCCACAGAAACAATGGCAGCTCCAGGCCCAGCCATTCCTAGTAGGTGATGTTTCAGGTTGGGGTAAGAAGGGACTAAAGTTACATACTTTGAAACATAAAAATACATATACCTTTTTCTTTATTAGACAGAATTAAATAGCTATGAATAATAGTCTCCCTGTTAAGATTTCATGCTGCTTGAAACTAGTACTCATCGACTTATATGTGCATATTAAATAGCTCCTTAGATCTGCTCTTTTGTATTTTTTGTGTCATGTGAAGGGCAATGTCTTATTGCAGCTTTTGTATTTTATTTGAATTGACTATTTGTCCTTATCTTGGTTTTCCCCTTAACTCTGTCCCACATGCAAATCTCAGTTTTCAGGCAGGCTGGAAATCTGTCTTTATATATCTCAGATTAATTATACTCTCTAGGTTATTCTGGATAAACTTTCTGAACAGAGTGTTCAGAACATCATCTTGTTGTGGAGCCTTAAAATACTGCTTCACAGAAGATTATTAGCCTAGAGGATGTGAGAATCAAATATACTTGGAGTGAGACTGAACTGTCTGAGGTTCACCCCATGGTCTAGCTTTCCCAAGTCCAGATGATTTTGTGATTCTCTTCATGACTGCCCTTTCCCTTGAAAGACTGAGCAGTGAAGTTAAATGTTTGATGTGATGTCTAGGCCAGTGTTTCAGCTGAAACTATTTCAGAAAGAAGAGTGTCATGCTCTGAACTTGAGAAACATTAAGCAGGACACGGAGTGTTTGAGGAGACCTAGATTTCATTTGCTTGCCATAGACAGCTAGTACTCCTCTTATTTATTTTTTTTCCATCCCTCTCTAGTTGCTTTGTTTTACTCCGTTGCTAGCAAATCAAACATTGGACCTTGAAAGTCAGATTTATACCCCTGCTATTTTTGTTCAAGACTTCTACCTCCTGTGTCTGAGAAAAAGCAATTTTAAATTTTTCTTCTCTAAGGCTCGTTAGGATAGGAGTGCATTGAATGTGCAACTTCCCCATCTGCTGTTGTGCTTATTGAGGTTCTAAACACCTTATAGTTGTAGGACTTAGAGTGGTGTTAGACACGTTTGATCGCATTACTGGCCACTGGTTGTATAGCTGGTGTTCTCACTGCAGGTTTAAAACATGATAGTTCTAACTTCTCAAGCAGCCAAGTGCTAATTAGGTCTTGCCCAAATTGCTTGAATATTTTAACTTTGTTGTTGCTTTTTAATTTAATTCTTAACCCTTATCAAAAGTTTCACTTGACTTACACAAAGAAAATGGAGCTTTTAAAATTTGGTTGAGAGAAGCATGTCTTCTGTAGCTCGTGTAGCTCATGCTTGTGAAAGCCCACATGCAAGACCATGCTTCTAGATGCTGTGTTCACAGTGATAGTGGAGTAATCTGAGAGTTTAAATCCATGCTGATTTGGGAGTTTGCTGCTAGTAAATACTTATGCTAAAGTCCTTAACCATTTTGGGAGAAGCTGTGAGAGCTATGAAGAAAACTTTATCTGTTTCCTTCAGCTGCTGAAGATGCTCAGATAACCATTTTGTGAAGGACAAGAAAAATCCTGTGTCTGTCCTAAATACAACTCCAGAGTGAATTTGGTGACTACTTTCCTATGTTTTAGATGGAGAGTGGTATGGATGGAGGCCGGGAATAGGAATACAACTGAAACTGTCAGCTGTCAAATTGGTAGAATTTGATGCAATGACAGATTCCTAGCATCAGAGGAAAAACATTGACTTGTAGAAGATCACTTGCTGTTCTTTGAGTTTCTCAGTGAGAATCTGGTAGTATAGATGGCTACAATTAGAAACTCTGATCTTTCCCAGATTTCTAGGGTTAGTGATAATTAATTTAGACATTATGTTAATAGAATTTGTGAGGCTCTGGTAGATGTTCTTGGTTTGAGGAAAAAAGATTTAATTTGTGTTTGGAGCTGATGTGGTTCCGGTATGTTGGATTTTTTGTGTTTTGGTTTGTTTTTTTCCCCCCAAATTGCATTTCTGACTGTCATGTGGTAGTGATGGGAAAGGAGACGTGAAATTATGATGCATTTTTCTGCATTCCTGTAAAGTAGAAAATAAATGGGAAAGATTATATTATTTTTTTTTTCTGCTGGATTTCGTGGCTTCATTCTGCAAAAATGCTTTTCCAGTTTCATTTTTGATTAATGAAGTTCTACTTCATTCTTTATTTCTTTGAGCTGTAGGCTGTGGGAGCTGTTTGAATCTTTGCCAATGACTGTCATGTATTGGTTGCTTAGTCCTTACGTGACTTTGCCAGCATGTTCAGTATCATCATCTGTCATCTTATTAATGCTCTATTCCTCCAGTTGAAAATACAGCTGTGATTGAGCTGAGGTGCAAATGCCAAGAAGTGGCTTAAAGAATACCTCAAAATAAAAGTATTTTAATGGGATTTTTCTCTATCATGTGGCACCTCTCTGCATCAAGTCAGTACATCTTGTAAGTCACTAAAAGCCAATATAGTTTACTGTTTTGTTAATATTGTTCTTGACTTTTATTAGGAAATATGATACAATTTCTAAAATAAAGAATATGTTGGAAGATTCAGTAGGGCAGCATTAACTCCATTAGCCAAGTAGATATATAGTAGTAAATGAAACAACTGTTTATTTAGCAAAGGTTGCAGTCTGGCCTTAAACAGATGACTCCCTGGGAAAAGAAAAGGGGCATATGCAGTTCATAGGAGGAAATTTTTCATCTAATAGTGTATTTAATAAATTCAGCTTAAAGCAGTCAGTTGCTTTTCTGGTGTTGAAGGTTGCTATAGTTTTACTAGGAAAAAAAGCAGTAAGGAGTTACATAGTCCATGTTAAGGGAACTAGAGCATTTTAAAATGTAATATCTTAGAATGACCTTTTTCTTCTGTTAAACCTATTTTGGAGGTAAGACAAGCAGGCAAAAGAGCTTCCTGATGGATGACCTGTACAGCACTATCAGCAAGTAGTTGATTATTTGTTCTTTCTGTGCCTGGGGGGTGAATAATGTGGTTGCAGTGTATAATGAAGGAGATGCCTCTGGTGTATTGCTTTCCTCAGGCTGTAGAGCTGTGCCTGATGTCTTTGGGGCCCTAATCAGGAATTACAGGGGGGAAAAAAACCACCTTGAAGGTATAGGGCTGGAAATGACTTCCTTTTGCTGCTAAATCTGAAACTGAAACAGTAAGTAGTATCCTCATGATTTTAGGTGTCACCAGGGCATGCAGGGGTTTGTGACTGGAGACAGATTTCTCCCTTCTCTTCTTTGAACTCACAGGTTTGTATTTCAGTAGTTCTGGTAGCGTTTGGTGTATCCATTTTCATCGCATATGGCCGTCTTCATCAGGTGCAGTATCTGGAAAATGAATATTGAGCTCGGTGCAGCAGAACTGGTGTCTTTAGATCAGTTTGCACAGTCTGTAAGCATTTTTAATAGACGTGAAATTCCGAGTTTTGCTGAAGTAGTACTGGTTAATGAAGTTCTTTTGTTCCCCAGAAAAAAAGAAAGCTTAAGTGAGGCTGTAAAAAAAGTTGTTGAAGAATTTATTTTTTTTTTATACACATGTGGTGGGAATGTCAAATGGGTGGATAGTTATATGCAAACGTAGATTGGTGAGGCATGCTTCTGGTGCTGGGCTGCAAGGGTTAAGCAGTTGTCTTTACAGATGTCAGTTCTGCTGCTTCTGTGTATTTTTATAAAGCAGGGAAAGGCACCAAGGACTGGACTTTGTCTTACCAGTATACTCGAGGTTCTCCCTGATGTCACTTGGACAACCTGGAGAAAAAGACTCTTAAACTTGGATGCAAAAGAGTAAGTGCAGGTGAACATAGGCATGTGTGCAGTCTGTGCAGGGCAATGCTGAGGAGACCAGGTGGCCTCAGCTCTACCTGTTCTGATCTTGGCTTTGCAATCTTTTTTATTTTTTTTCCTCAGTTATTTAAATAGCCTCAGAAAATAATGCTTTCGTCAGTAAGTTCCATTACTGAAGAGGTTAAAATGAAAATCCTAAGGAAAGGATGCAACGTTAAGTCCTTGTTTGTCCAGTACTTTCACTGTTGCTCGGTAATCCTGAGCAGTATTTTTTTAACCTTGGAAGAAAACCTTTCTTTTGCCCTTTTCAGTTGATCCATTGCATATGACTTTTTTCATTAATTCTTTCTTGTCTCTTGAGTTCTAGCAGAATTATTTTACATCAGCTGAACTTTTATAACTGTCCATATGTGTTTTCTTTGTTCAAGGTGAATGTGAGTTGTTTGACCTTTTTCATTGCAGGGTTAGTCATTTTACCTGGCCTTTACCACAGATGTAGAACTTGCATGTGGACAGTGATGAAGGCTTGGAGCCTCAGTTCCACGGAGACCAAACTGCACTGGACAGGATGAAATGTATCAGGGTGGTCTGAGCTGTTCTTGATAGGAGAGTCTCTTGAGTGTCATACTGATTTCTTTGTCAAACAGGAATATTTTGAATAAAATAACTAAAATGGAACCTTCTGCCTTCCCCACTGTGCTTGCAATTACCAGTTCAACACAGAGAGAATTAGAACCACATATAGCCCGTCTTTTAAAAACGGTTTAAATTAATTTTCTATTTCTGTGGGCAAAGTTATTTGTACTGTACTTCTAAGTAGCTAGCTGCTAATAGTCCTCAAGTCATCAGTGAAATCAGTTACGGGTAGTTTGGAGGATAAAACCAACGAGCCAAGTTAATTCCTGGATTGTTGATTTCAGATTAGTAGCATAAGGGGGAAAAATTGCCCATTTTGCTTGTATATAGCTATATTGGCTACAGATGCAAAATGCAATTTGAAAACGTGATATTGTACGCTGTGCTTTATGGCTTTTTGGGTGGTCTGTAGGGAGTTTACAGACATTGACAACGCATTTCTCACTTGCTGCCTGGTAGCTGGATTTCTGTTGAATACTTGGGAGAAATTTCCATGCTAATGCCAGCATTGAATTTGGCACAAGATTGGCATCATTTATAGAAATTGCTATGCTTGGCTGTACTTCTGTTCATATAATCCTAATTACATGCTTTATTGTGAAATTGTTGTCAGTTATTAGATTCTTATTCAATTCCGACCTTCCTGGAAATGTAGAAATGCATTTTATTTCTGACCTAAGAAGACTTCTTGTTCTTATGGGGCATGATGAAGCTTCATTTCCCATGTTCATTCATTTCTGTGCTTCTGTACACCACTGTACCACACTGTCAGCTGAGATCTGTAGCTGCTTAGCACAAGTAAGCCTGGTCCTTAGATTATTGCCTTGCTCTCTTTTAATACTGTTGCTTTGAGCCCTCATGGGCCTTTCAGTCTCTTGTGGGCTGAGAATGTTCAGATTCTTTTCCATGATGTTGTTCTAGTGGATGCAAAATAAATTCTTTATTACCTTAACTCATTTTTGGCTTAAAAAAAAAAAAAAATCTTATTCCACACAGCCATATAAATGCCTTGTCTGGAGACTGGTGGGTCAGGCATGGCCTGAGCTGGATCAGACCTTACAACCTGGTTAGATCTGAAGGGAGTTCTCCAGAACTAGAGCCAGTAGTAGCTCTGCATTGTGCTTCAGTGCAGAGACCCCCTAATGGGGGGGTGTTCGTGATGATGTTGGCAGAGGCCAGCATCAAACCAGAGTTAACATGGCCAGCTGATCCAAGCTAGTTCTTGGTGGAGATGCTGGAGTATTTCTGCTTTGTTCTCTCTAGCTGCTTTGTTCTGTTTTCTCTAATATTCTAGCACTTCTTTATCCCACTGCATGAAAGAGTGGGAAATGTTTTTGTCTAGATGGTTAACTTGGTGAATAAGGCTTTATACTAATGTGATGGGAGATGAAAGCAATCTTGTAGGTTAGGGCACAGAGATGTTACATGAGTGCCGAGGCAGGCTCTTGCAGCCAGTATTTTTAAGGGAGGAATGGGTAGGAGTAGGGTTGCCCCTTTCTCTAGCAGTGAGCTGTGATCAGCTCAGTCCATCTCCTGTAATCATCACACCCTGACCATACTGTATTTTAGACTCAGTTGTACTTGTCTTTGATTTAGTGGGTCTGCATTTTATTTTGTTCTAAATTAAATAAGTAACTCCAGACAAGGATTGCCTTTTCCTGCAGCTGGGCTGTGTGTGTTTGGCTTTCTCCTGGTATTTGGGGCTTTATCTGTCTTTTGTGAGTCCAGACCACTTCCAGCCAGCATGTGGGCTGCACTGTTGCGTGTTGCAGTGACTTTTGGCCCCTGTATTCATAGTGATACGGATAAATGACATTGGAAGTCTGCAACAAGACTCTCATTTTTGCTGAAAAGGCAACTAACTTCTAATGTGTAATTTAGAGGCTCCTAGTGTCTTTCCTGGCGGAGCAGCATGCGATAGAGATTAATTTCCAAACCAGTAGTTTGCTGTGACATCCAGAAGCCCCAACGAGTGTGACATGGCCCATGGTGAGAGCAGCATTTCTCTGCCTGCAATAGTTTGCATTCTTCACCAGCCAGGCAAGAGAAAGGAACACAGATGCTTCTGGTTTGATGTTACAGCCTGAAAGGATAATTTACACGCTACTGAAAATCAAGAACACACCTGTGCTTCTAGTTTGAAACCTGAAATGTTTTGTTAGACTTGATACATTTTTTCTGAAAGTGCCTGTTGCAAGATAGTTGGCATACATAATTTTACTTTTTACTTTACACCTCTGCTAGTAATCACTGGTGAGTATCAAAAATAACCACTTTAAACCTATGGAAGGTGAAATGCATGTGACAGAAGGTAAATCTTATGAAACATTGCAATGGAGGTATGTCATCTGTGGCGTCTAGCATTTAGTGTGTGTGTGTTTTCTGGTGCCTTGGCTGCAAAGCTTGTAAAGTGCTGAGTTAGTAGAAAGCCCAGGATGTTGTTGTAGCTAGAAGTGATGTATCTTACTGCATTTCCTCTTCTTGTATTTTCTATTGTGAAGAAGGAAATGTTAGCTTGAATGGGATAAGACTGATGACAGGTTGGTCAGTGGCTGTAGATGTTTTAGAAAAAAAATAAAAAATCTCTGCTGTTTGCGCAGTATGGATATTGTCTTTGGAAGAAGGAAGAGTTAATAAAAATTGAAGGCTGCTTTTCTTTTTTTTTTTTTTCTGGAATGGATATGTTCCTATCCATTATCCTACATGTGGAGGTGGTAAGGTTGGACAGGAAATAATTTCTTGTGGGAGGAATAAGCTGGAGGAAGGTAGGAGGGAAGCAGCACATGGGGGGAACACAGCTGTCAGTATGTGAAAGGTGGAGGAGAGATGCACAGGTGCATTTCTAACATCAAGTGCAACAGGGATGGTGGGTGGCAGGCGGGTGCCGGCAGAGAACACATAGTATGTGCCAGTATCAAGTGCACACATGTTTTGCAATTTCTGTTACCTAAGTTATGTCAGATGTAATTCTTGCCTTGGCTCGGGAATTAAATCTTAATGGGATTGAAATCAATAGCACAGTTTACACTGACCTATCTGGTCTGGTGCAATCATTTGGTCTTAAGTACATGTTTAGGCTTTTGTGTTCTGCCAGTAAGTGATGGAAAGCTTGTGATCTTGTTAGGTAATCTACTGCAGTAGAAATTCTGGTGGTGTTTCATAAAGGAAAGCAAACTTCTCTATTTCCACTGAGCTCTTTCTAAAAAGGGTATGAGAATTCTTGCTTATTTTAATACATCCTGATCATTAAGCTCTGGAGGGATTATCTTTTACTTCCCTGTTTGTATTGGGCTTTTTTATTGTATGGTAGCGAGACCCAGTGGATCTCAGTGTGAGGAGGCCCCTGAGCTTAACTCAATGCAAGGACACTACACCTTTTGGTTTTTCTTGTGTATCTTGTGTGAATTCTAGTAGTTTTATTTTTTGTATCAAGTAGTTGATTTACAAGATCACAGTGTATTCAGAGATGCTGAATGCAAAGCTTACTTGATACGAGAGTTACAGATGTTCTGAGTGATGACTTTGTTTCTGTAGCTTTTCCCTGTTTGTAGCATAAACTGTGACTTTGCAGTTTCCTGTTGAACAACATCACATGAACTTGAAGCATTTTTTCCACCGTGAGTGACTTTCTCTTGAAGAAGGGCTGCTTGATTATGAAGTTGTGGGTTGGAATAGACAAGGAATCAAGAAAAATTTCAAAGCTCTACCACGTCAGGACCTAGGAAGAGTGTCATACAAATTATGAGCAAAATTATCTCTACTGCAAGCAAGAAAACTCTGTGTATCATTGCATGCATGGTTTCAGTAGCACTTTGTTTTTATGACTACAGATATCTTGGTTATTCTAGTGATTTCTGAATTAATGATTTACCTGTATGTTCTCTTGCTTTTAGTATTTTCTGGAGATTCAGAAATGTTAATTTGGGAACACCTTGAAGTAACAAGTATTTGTGATAACAGGTGCTAGCAAATAGAAACTACTATGTAGCTATTTTGTTAGAAATGATTATTGCTTTTCCATAAGGACTTGCTGCTTTTTGGTGCCTTTTACAGAGGAGACACTTGCAGTCTTTATGATATTGTCCCTTGCTTTTGTTTTCCAGAATATGACAAACTGGGCTTTCTCCTGAACCTGGACTCAAAATTGTAAGTAGAACAGTAGGACTCTTCTTTGTTTCTGTAGTTACAGATTTATGTTGTAAACAAATTTAATGTCACCTGGGCAGTTGGCTTACTGGATTATACGCTTCTACCTGGGACAGCCAAGTCCTGCAGCAAGCTGGCAATTACAACTTCTTTCGTTACACTAGGCTTTGCTAGCCGGCTTGGATTGTGGTTCACTGTCATTAATTCCTTAATGACTGATCAAGAGGCTATAAATGTCCACCTGAAGCCATGACACTCAGTCTGCTCTAGATATCCTGCTGTTAATCTTCCAAGTGAGGAAGAATGTATTAAACATTTTAAAGCAAGAGGAGTGTCAGTCTGCAATTTACTGGGATGCTTAGAAGTTTGTATTTCCTTTCCACTTGTTTCTTTAAAAATGGATACTACTATTTTTGTTTGTAAACTGGAGTGGAAAGAACCTCATCACAAGGCAGTGACCATTTGCTGTGTCAGAACAGCAACAAAGTGCTGAAGGATGATACTCATCCTCTTTGCCATAAATAAGTCAAATTGAGACTGAAGTTCTTAACACTAGGCGTCACTAGCGACTCTGTTTCTGAGGTCAACAGCCTTGCAGAAATTTTGGTATTGGGAGCAAAATGACTGCTAAAAGTCTTTTGCTTCTACTACTTAAAAAGGCACTGAAGCAATCTAGTGGCACTGAATGACTTGAGAATGCATCCCCTGTACAATGTGAATATAAAAACCATTCTTAATGTTTAGAAACTTTCCTTGTACTTACGGGGTGTAACAGTTTTGAGTTTAGTCTTGTTGAGCAGCTTGGGAGCTTCCATACTGAAAGAAAAGCCTCCTAAGGGTGCTGGGAACTGCTGTTTGTAGGAAGTGGTAAAAGTCTCTAGGTAAAAGCTTCTTTTACAGAAGCGGCTGGGTACATAAACTCTACTATAGTAACTTCACTGGCAAAAAGGTGCTGTAGAAGAACACGCATGAGAGAAGGAATATCGACTTTTTTTGTTTGTTTTCCTACCCCTGAAGACTGTATCTCAGTGTGCAGGAAAGGCAGCATTTACTGCTTTAATAGCTGGTCAAGGTTTCTTTTGGTCTCATTTAATGTAGTGTTCTGTGTGGTTTTTGTTGCATGCTGACTAGAATCCACACTGGTTGCATAGTCATCAATTTTCTTTATTGAATTTATGTATTGGGACATCCTTGTGATTTAGACAATAGCATATGTACCCTTAAAACACTGTGGGTTGAGACGTTACATTATCTTCAATTTATACATGTAGAAGTCAAAGCAAAGAGAATAGTCAAAAACTGGGAAGTGGGTAAGTAACCTCTGAATGAATATTTTGGTGTTGGCAAAGGAAAAATGGTTTTTAACTTAAGTAGTCTGATTTTGGTTTTTTTCCAGACTACTTTGCTTATTTTGTAGTGTTGGCTTTATTGAACATGCCCACTGACTGTCCACACACTTTGGGCACACCGGTGTTATATAGAACATCAGTGTGTGCTGTGTCCAAACCACTGCTTCAGTCTTGTTCTTCCTATTTATCCTTCTGTGTTTGCTGTCCTTTTCTTTGTTGCTTTTAGCAAGTCCCATTGAGTCTTCCTTCCTCTCAAGCCTCTGTTACATCTTTTTTTTCCCCTTGATTATAGCTCTCTTGAGACATGGCCTGCTCCTTCTTATACTTTAGCATGAGGCCAAGTGAAGTTTTTACCTAATGGAAGGCTTCTAAAACCCTAAAATTCTTTATTGAAACCTCCCCATCATAAAGACTCTCCATTATTTTTAATAAGAGGAAGATTTTGTTGACTACTTTAAAAAAAGATATTTATATAGCACCTTAAATGTACATGTTTGCTTTTCAAAGCCATAAAGTTAGCTTCTAGAAAGGTTTGTAATAACATCAGCATAATTAAAATAAATATTATGAGGTTAAGTTAAGGAGCAAAGAAGTACTATACATAGGTGAAATAACCTTTTTTTTTTTTACTGTAATTGTCTTTTGATTTTAGGTTGTCTTTTTTTTCCTTTTTGTTGTTTGTTTCTTCTAAGGAAGTAAAGCTGGTGCTGCTTTGACAGTGGACCTGATGACCTGCAGAGTTCCCATCCAGCCTGAGTTACTCTAATTTTTTTTTTTTTTCAGTAGCAAGGGAGCCAGAAAAAAAAGTTGAAAATCCCATAAAACATACTAAATCTTCAAAGAGAAATGGGTGACAGCCTAGGGGAATTTGCTGCTGTTTCACAAGTTCACCATGTGTGCTCAGGGTACCAAATACGTTTTCTAAGTACACACTGAATTCAGTGGAGCTTTCTGTGACTCAGTCAAAATGGTACCATTGTAGAACACTTTCTGGTTAAAAAATTTGCTTAGGGTTGAAAGGGGTAATATGTTCTGCACTGGTGACTTTATTGGCAGAAATAATTTAATTACGCCTGTTGTGATATAATTGTTCTGGTGGAATTTTGCCATAGATCATAACTTTATAGGGTTCACTTAACTGACAGCATGTGAGTCTTATGTGACTTAAAGCACTTGGGGCAACAATCAGTTTTCTCTCTTCCTTAATCTTTCATTTGTTCAAAATCTGTTTCTGGCTGTGTTAGTTGATGTCACTTAAACTGATGACCTGGAGGACTAACATTTTCTACAAAGCATCTTTAATTTTTTCATGTATTAGTACTTTAGTGTCCTCTACCATGTAGATGTGCAGGGCATGTTATTCAGATATAATACATTCTATTGTGGTAACAGCAATGTAATGATTCTGTTCACTAGTTCTTTTTGAGTTCATGGAAATGGTAATGAACCAGATTTATTCACTTTATTAAGAAAATTTTTCAGAAGTACTTGAGGATTGTTTTCTGTGGGAACTGTATGTCTGATGCATGCCTTGCTATAGCATTGGGGAGCCTGCTGTGGCTAGAAATCTCATCTGGAAGGGATGGCCAGTTTTAAACATAATGTACAAATGCTTCATGGGAATGGCCAATTCTGACCAGAAGTCTTGTTGCTATGAGCTTGTCAGAAAGGAGAATATCAAGAAGGAAGATGCTTCTTTTCTGCTGCCTGTGCTTAGGCTAACTCTTGTCTGGAAAGTCTTTTCCATCCAAAGCAGGATGGTATCCAGGTGGGGTTTATTAATGACATACAGGATAAATGGAAAGCTGAGGACATCTGTAGGCAGCATACTTGATGAATTAGTTGTTTCCTCAGTCAAAACAAGACCTAAGGCTCCTCAGGACCAGATAAGTGAAAAAGATCTGTTGCAAGAGGAGTTTCTTTTAGTTATGCTTGTACCAACCATAACATCATTACCAAAATTAGAATATCAAAACAAAATATGCACAAAGTACAGAAACAGGCTAGTTGTATCAGATTCTCCCAGGTCAAGGGTTTTCCCAAGCCGCAGAGCCACATACCGTTTTAAAGCCTTTAATAATAAAATCCAACATTTACTGGTTGCATAGAGAAAAGTACTAACAGAAAAAAAAAAATATTATAAAATTTACAGTTCTTAATTCATGGAGGGGCCAAGACCATTAGTCACATTAGTGACTCAGCCAATGGATTACTAGGTGCCATCAGATGCCAAGATTTGCAGTCACTTTTCTAACATCTGTGCTTGCCAAAGGGTTGCATGCTTTTATTAAATATTTATATTGTAGTAGTTCCTTGAGGCAGGCCAGGTCCTAGAAACAAGAGTCTCATTCACTACAAATTCTGTGTTCTCTGAGCAAAATCTATGTTTGCATTGAATTACATGAGATTTCTGTAGGAGAATCAACATATGATCATGTAGTTAATTATAGTCTGTGTCTTACTGCATATTTAGTGGGCCCAGCTGCATGATCATTCATTATTCTGTCACTTACTACTCTGTCAATGCTTGGTTTAGTCACCTTAATGATTACTTTGACTATGCCTTGGCATGTTACAAGTAGAGATTCACTTGTCTTGTGCATGTGAAAAGCTCCTTTTTCGTAATAATCCGTGTGATTTGGGGGCTTTCCCCTTGCACTGTTGCCCTCATGGTTCTATACCAGCTTTCCTTAGTCAGCCAACATGCCACTTACTTGGTGAGATGGAAGCTAGTGACTGCTACTTCTGTCCTCCTTTCAAACTCTTCCTTTAAAAGCTATTTTCAAATGTGCTTTAGCAGTTAGATTGGCAATTTAATGCTTCTAAACAACAGTGAGAAAAAAGCTCCCCTTGGGTGATGGTGGATCTTTTCACCTGCTGCCACAGTCAGCTCAAAACCTTGGATGTTAAAATATTGATTGATGAATGATGGAGAAAGTGTCCCAGGGTTTGACTTTGGGGGAAGAACCACTCTCATAAAGTTTGAAATGTTAGAAGATGTGATTGAGCTTACCGGAATCATTCTTCACTTAAACAAAAAGATAGTGGGTATTATGATGTGTTAACTTGAAAGTAAAATTTTTTAAGAGTAGAAACTGGAAAAAAAATTACTACCACTCTCAGTTACAGAAATGACTACGAGATCGGTATGATTGACCACAATAACATCATAGTAACATAGTTACTCTACTGTATTTATACAATATATGGTATATATTTTCTATTGTGTACTTTGGGAATTTTTAGATAGTACTTAATTAAAAGGAGAAATATTTTTTCCAGTGGGCTTAGTGCTTTGCTAGACATTGAGTAGATTTGGGAGGTACAACAAAGATATGTATTTTTTTTTTAATATTCATGATAATTTCAAACTTTGCTTTCAAAGGAAGAGACAAAGAAATGGAGTTGGGGGGGTGATGGGGCGTGGGGAGGCCAGAAATAACAATCTTCACCCTGCAAACTCAAATGAAACTTGATCTAGACTTTGAAAAGACTGTAAAAACGGAGGGAGTTTGGGCAAGGGCAACACACAGATTGGGTTACTTCTGTTTGTTGAAATTTCTTTACTTCAGAGCTTTAATAATGAAGAATTGAAACGGAGTGCCTTCCTTCCATTTTGTTTCTAGGGTGGGAGGTTGCTTTGAAACTGTT